TACAGAATGTATCAGAATGTATCCTCCCTCCTAGATTGTAAGCTCCAAGGAGCAGGGCCCTCGAACCCCTCGTGTATCGCATTGTATTGTTATTGTACTGTAAAAACAGTAAGATGAGTGAGCGCTAAAAGATAAAATCAGCAGCTATGCACCGCAAGGTACCATATAAACCTTCAGAGTAATAGAGTAAAAAAAAAAAAATGCAGCGCTAAATAATTCGTTATAGATCGAAAATGTTCTTAATTTGAACATCTAAAATCACCATAAACAATAAATATGTGACATAAGTGCAAAGTCAGATATAGTCACTATTGAATGATATTTGACTTTGCACTTATGTCGCATATTTATTGTTTATGGTGAGTTTAGATGTTCAGATTAAGAACATTTTCGACTTTAACGAATTATATAGCGCTGCACCTTTTTTTACTCTATTGTTATTGTACTGCCTAATGTATTGTCTCCCATTGTAATGTACAGCACTGAGCGAACTGTTGGCGCTTTATAAATACTGTATAATAATAATAATCAGATGGCTGGGCCTAATAACAGGTTTTTATCAAGGGGAGCGTCAAACCGAGCTTAGTTTGATATGCTACCTTTTCAGCTAACTCATAGTGCTGTGGAAATCCTTTGCCATGTATTGAATGTTCATTTGTAAAACAATTATTGTGTGTGTTTGTGTGTATATATATATATATACTGTATATATATATATATATATATATATATATATATATATATACACACACACACAGTGTACTTTAAAGTGGATTCTTGCTTTTCACTTGGTATGGTGGCTGATTATATTTGATTAGACAAATACAAACAATCTTCCCAACTGTAGCTGCAAGTGTCACCTGACTTTGCAGGTTTTGGTTTCAGGAACGAGCATTAGAAGGAGAGGACCAAGTTGGGTTATGTAGGCATTTGTAATACTAAAGAGTGAAGTATAGGTCCACTTTTTCTTTAAAGTGGAGAATTCCATATATGCATTTTGCTCAATACAAATTATTATGGATGACATCATCAACTGACCCAGTATTTCAACAACCTAAGCTTTCAAACAGTTAAACATGACAAACGTTCAAAGATAATCCAAGGAGATGCAACCAATTTATTTACTAAAGGCTAGATTTTGTTTTCTTATCCAGTATCTGCAAACAAATTGTACAATTGTTTTTGAAAGCTCTGAGTTTTTTTTTTTTTACCAAGGAATCGGCTATTGTAAGGCAGGTTGAAGATGAAAATGATGAGTAATAAACTTCAGATTGTCTTATCATTGTCAAAAGGAACCAAAGAACACCTTTCACCTCTTAGCAGTAGGCAAATTATCCCTCTACTCAGGCTTCAAGTTGTACAGTATAGGCCTTCCAAGGTTTGGAATTTAAAGGTTTTCCTGACATGTGGAAAAGTCCAACACAAAGGTAACAAAAAAAAATTGGAAAAGTTATGAACGGAGTTGTAATGAGGGGGTAAAGCAAAGGGGGGATCACCAACTCTACACAAACAGGACAGAACTGGTTGCCCTGAAGACATTCTGAAAGTGAAAATGCTCTTTATGCAGCTATGGTTAAGTGCAGTCATTAAAGCGGATTTCCACCCAAAAGGGGAAGTTCCACTTTAAGCCTTTGTCTCCCGCTGCAAACTAAGGATTGGCACCTTTGGGGAGTGGGGGGGAGGGGGTTCCTGAATTTGACAGGTACCCGCTCCCACTTCCGCTGAGATTGCCTAGGCGATCGGAAGCGGAAGTTGTCCTCCCCCCTCAAGCCCCGTAGTCTTCTAGGACATGTGACAGGTCCCAGAAGACTACGAGGCCATTCACAAAGCGCAGCACTTCTCGCGCATGCATAGTGGGCACCTGGCTGTGAAGCCGCAAGCTATCACAACCAGGTGCCCACACTGAAGATGCCAGTGCCAGGGAGAGAAGACGGCCAATGAAACCAGCATGGTGAGGACAGTGCTGGACTGGTGAGTGGCTGTATTTTACAGTTTTTGTAGCTGCTGCCTTTTTTTTTTTCAGGTGGAACTCCGCTTTAAATCATCTTAGAATTCTTTATCCATTAAACAGATATAAAAGAAAACTTGAGCACATCTCCAAGCATAATGCAAACATCTAAGCGGGTCATATTTGCAAAAGAGATACAGTACTTGCAAAGATTACTTTCAGGGGGCTCACCTTTACCTTAATATCCTCAAGATTCATACAAACGTACAACTATGCAAATCTTATTAACAGTACAGAAAGTCTTATTTGCAAGCCTTTATAAGGAATTGTGATAGCATGAAAAATAAACACAAAAATAGTTTATAGCACATGACAGCACAGTTTGGAAACAAAATCAAATTTGTCTTGGTTAGTCCACTTCCACAAGCTCTGCATATATTTATAGTTTATTTAAAATCAAGTAAATAGTTCAATAGATTATACCGCTTCCTTGGAAAAGGACTGCAGCAACAATTTGTCTTCTAGGCACAACCCATCTTTCCTTTGGGAAAGAAAATTTATCTAAAGTATAATAAAAATAAGCACAATAAAGATAAACAACTATGGTGCAGGATGTCCAAACATACTCTGATTCGCATAACCAATATTCACTGTTTTTATAATATGCACTAAGCATTTGTGGAAAATAAAGGCAGCAAATTTACCCTGCAGCACTTTATGGACTACTTATCAGAGAATATGATCTAAAAGTCAGCTAAAGGCATTTTAGGTTGAAATACAGGGCTACACGAGTTCACAACAAAGGCGGGATAGTGGCTATTTACCAGTATCAGACAATCTTCACAGGACCATCTTATATCTTCAGATGATAACATCTCCAGCTCTTCACTGCTCTAGGGGTATGTTGATGGAATTATTCGCTGTTACAGAGAGAATTTAGAATTTTTGTCTCCGCTGACTTTCTGAAATCTAACATTACACATCTCAGAATCTACTTCTAAGTGGATGTAGGGAAAAAATAGGTCTGCTTTGCAATAATTTTGAAAATCCCTGCTGAAAAAAACTGCATATAGTCAAGGGGACCAATATATAAATTAGGATATAATATTACTCTCGCCAGAAAAAGCAGATGTTACAGAAGAATTTAGATTTTTGTCTCCGCTGACTTTCTGAAATCTAACATTACACATCTCAGAATCTACTTCTAAGCTTCTAAGGGATGATTAGCAGCACATCAAATTACTTCTCTAGGCTTCTATAGTGACAACTTTGTAACTTGATTTGGACATTGACAGTAGTAGGAGAAAAATAGGTCTGTTTTGCAAACCAATTATTCCTGGCAATACTTTTGAAATCCCTGAATGTGAAAACTGCATATAGTCAAGGGGACCAATATATAAATTAGGATATAATATTACATAATACAAAACACTATTTTGATTGTTTTCCTGATACATTGTATTATGATTGTTGAAAAATATTCTTGTATGAATTAGCAAGTCTGTACAGGAGTTTACCAACTGGTCAATGCGGTCTTGGGAAATAGGCTACCTAAAAACCCCTATGAAGCCTTATTAAATCTTAAACCACTATCTTGTACTTCCAAGCAATTTAAACTAGACCTGGGAGAATATTAGATAGAGGGACTGCTGGAACACTTCAAGTCCATCCTATCTCATGTGAGCAATTTAAACTAGTGGCATCCATTTTCACCATGGCCAGACAAACTTTGACGAGAATTTGGACATCTGGTATTCCCATGATTGCCCAGGCAAAACAAAAAATCTCCTGGTACCTATTCAATGAATAGCTAGCTGCCATACTACAAGACAAATTAAAAAAAATTAAATTAAATATGGAAGTCATTGATCTCCAATTATCTTGGGTGAAATATCAACAAATTCTTATGGATATTCAAACTCTCTGGAGCAAATCTTGTGCAAAGGGACCCAACCTGATGGAATAAGTGGATTTAGCCAATGGGCACATTGAATAATTTTAAATATGAGAACACCCTCTCTACTAACTCCTGCAAACTGACAGTGCAGCTTACACAACAGGTTTCACTGCATTAAGAGAAATACACTAGTTTTATCCTGGTTCAGAACAGCTCCAACGGAGTCAAACCAATTTTGAAAATAGTTCCTGCATTATTTTTGTGGACTTCAGGTGCAATTTGCATTGACATCTGTGCATGAAGTTGCACAGATGTCAGGCAAGTCACACCTGAAACTGCAATGGTTCGAGACTTTGAAATCTCGCTATTTAAAGTGAAGTAGCACAATTTCAATACAGCATTCAGTGTCTTAGGGCCGGGCCTTAGGCCACCTATGCCAGGTTTTAGGTACACAAACCTAGATATAGATGCACAGGAGTTTATTTACTAAAGTTGGAGAATGCAAAATCAGGCTCACTTCTGCATAGAAACCATTCAGCTTCCAGATTTTATTGCCACAGCTTAATTGAACAATTTGAGGTTAGAAGTTGATTGGTTTCTATGTAGAAGTGAGCCTGATGTTGCAATCTCCAGCTTTAGCCAATCAAGCCCTCAGTGCCAAGTCATAAACTGTGGACTTGCCTGTGATTCCCTTTTGCGTGATTTCTACTGTCCTGCCATTCTAAAAAATAAATTCAAGGATTATGAAATGCATGGGACTCTAGATTTTGTCACTTGGGATAAGTCAAACAACAATTATCAGCATCTTGAAAAACTAAACCTCAGCTTTGCTGAAACAATAAGCCTCTCAACTCAAACCTTTATCTCAGTGTCTGCCAGCTCTCTGTGGCCTTATGTTAAAGGATACAGGCGTATGTTTTCGGAAGAGATATAAGAAATAAGGGAAATATGCTGGGATTACTGTAAACTGCAAACTGCTGGCAAAATATTTAGGTTTCTTTTGGTTCTGAGCCAGATTTTTTTAAGTAAATGAACACCACATCTTTATTAAGTTATGCCTAACTTTTTGATTCAAAACATACTTTAAATACTTGGCTTGGTAACATGCAGTATTATGATAATGTATTTCATAAGTTAAAGTGTTACTAAACCCAGGACCCTGCATTCACTATATCTGGTCTGCTACAGTACATACAACATGGAACTGCAATTATTTTAGTAAATATAAACTGCTAAATACCTTTTCTCATCAGCAGTTAGAGCAGTCTTGTGACTTCTATCAGTGTCTAGCAGTGCACTGGTTAAAGCTTGTAGGAGGAGTTTTCATTCTCCCCTGATTGTCCTAAGTGGCTGCATAACCCCAGACCCTCTGTCTGGACAGTGCTGATTGGCCCTGTTCTGATCACATGCACCCTCCCAATAAAAAAAAAAAAAACTCTCTAGCAATACACACCAAACTGAGCATGTGCAGCTTTCCCCCAAGGTTCTGTTCTATCAGATTGGGGACAGTAGAAAAAGGGGATCAGAGACAAAATGATCAAACAGCCTTTTTACACAATGCAGAGGATTAACCCCTTAGGTTCCACAGTGAGTATAACAAGCATGCTTTACTGCATATACAGACTGATTTTACTGTTGTGGTTTTAGTAACACTTTAAACACATAAAAGAGGGACATTGTGTAAAGAAGCAAGTTGGTATACTATAGTATAAATTTCATTTGCCTTGTAGTTTAGATGATGGCTAAAACAAAGCCCATTGTACAGCATGAGGAAGCAAAGTGAAAATATAAGTGGTAGAACAAAAAAATCTATTTAATATTCTAGCTTCACTTTAGTTGAATGAGATGAAACTGTATGTATGATTGGTGAGAAAATTGATTATTTGTTTATCCGTGGTGCAACTTATCAGATTGTCAAACTGAACAATTTTCTAAAAGTAAGCACAAAAGTGTATCTTGTAGCTTGAAAGCCGGTGAAACAGCAAAAAGTATTGGCCAGATATACAATATATTTGTGTGTATTACACATTGTAGCATGATAGGGGTGTGTGGGATGTAACTGAAATGATATTGCCTCATAGGATTATCAATACTGGACTTCTTAGTTATTTATCCTCTATCTTATACTTTTATTTTACAATTTATACCGTGAAGAATTTTTCTGCAGTGCTTTACATACAGTGGATATAAAATGTCTATACACCCCTGTTAAAATGTCAGCCTTCTGTTATGTAAAAAAATGATACAAAGATAACTCATTTCAGAACTTTTTAATGTAACCTATAAACTGTACAAATCAGTTGAACAACAAACTGAAATATTTTAGGTGGAAGGAAGTAAAAATAAAAAACTAAAATAATATGGTTGCATAAGTGTGCACACCCTTAAACTAATACTTTGTTGAAGCACCTTTTGATTTTATTCCAGCACTCAGTCTTTGTGGGTATGAGTCTATCAGCATGGCACATCTTGACTTGGCAATGTTTGCCCACTCTTCCTTGCAAAAACAAGCCAAATCTGTCAGATTGCGAGGGCATCTCCTGTGCACAGCCCTCTTCAGATCACCCCACAGATTTTATATCTGATTCTGGTCTGGGCTCTGGCTGGGCCATTCCAAAACTTTCATCTTCTTTTGGGGAAGCCATTCCTTTGTTGATTTGGATGTATGCTTTGGGTCATTGTCATGCTGACAGATGAAGTTCCTCTTCATTTCAGCTTTTTAGCAGAAGCCTGAAGGTTTTATGCCAATATTGACTGGTGTTTGGAACTGTTCGTAATTCCCTCTACCTTGACTAAGGCCCCAGTTCCAACTGAAGAAAAGCAGCCCTAAAGCATGATGCTGCCACCACCATGCTTCACTGTGGGTATGGTGTTCTTTTGGTGATGTGCAGTGTTGTTTTTGGAATTATGGCCAAAAAGTTCAACGTTGGTTTCATCAGACCATAACACATTTTCATGCTTACATGCTTTTGGGAGACTTCGGATGTGTTTTTGCAAAATTTAGCTGAGCTTGGATATTTTTCTTCATAAGAAAAGACTTCAATCTTGCCACTCTACCCCATAGCCCAGACATATGAAGAATACGAGAGAGATTATTGTCACATGTATCACACAGCCAGTACTTGCCAGATATTCCTGCAGCTCCTTTAATGTTGTTGTAGGCCTCTTGGCAGCCTCCCAGACCAGTTTTCTTCTCGTCTTTTCATCAATTTTGGAGGGACGTCCAGTTCTTGGAAATGTCACTGTTGCGCCATATTTCCTCCACTTGATGATGCCTGTCTTCACTGTGTTCCATGGTATATCTCTAATGCCTTGGAAATTCTTTTGTACCCTTCTCCTGACTGATACCTTTTAACAATGAGATCCCTCTGATGCTTTGGAAGCTCTCTGCTGACCATGGCTTTTTCTGTAGTATGCGACTACGAAAATGTCAGGAAAGACCTACTAGAACATCTGAACTTTATTTGGGGTTAAACAGGCACACCTTAAATGATAGCAAGTGTGTACTGACTCCTACTTAACATGATTTTGAATGTGATTGCTAAATTCTGAACACAGCTACATCCCCAGTTATAAGAGGGTGTGCACACTTATGCAACCACATTATTTTAGTTTTTTATGTTTACCCCCCCCCCCCCCCCTTAATATATTTCAGTTTGTTTTTCAATTGAGTTGTACAGTTTTTTTATAGGTCACATTAAAGGTGGAGAAAGTTCTGAGATGATTTATCTTTGTCAAATTTTTTTTACATCACAGAAACCTGACATTTTAACTGGGGTGTGTAAACATTTTATATCCAATGTAGATCATTACAGCCCCCTGATGAAGCCACGTGACCTGTGGTGCAATGCGTAGGGGAGGGGCTACGGCGTCACTCGGCACCAGAGGATAACGGCGAGTATACACGCTGTGCGGCACACACAGGCAGAGATCTATTCACAAAACGCTTTATGGTTTTATATAATGTGAGTGCAATATTTGGAAACTTAATAAAGGATCATTTTAAAAGGATAAAGCACTATGTTCACATTTCTTTTTTTGCTCTATGGCATCGAGTAACATCTAGGAGAGGATTAAGGAGGAGATTTACAGCAGCTGAAGCAGGGAGAGATCCCTGCAGGGATAACGAGCATACAAGGAGAGAAGTGCTGTGGAGCACTTAGGAGACACCCAACATCTATTTCATGCTGCAGCAAATCTTAGCAGGTTCCATTTATGTGAACAAAAAGCATACTAATCCTATCTATTAGGCTTGCAAGGAGGTGAGCATACAACTTTACCATTATAAGGATTCACAAAATGTCACTATTGTTGCTTTTGGATCACGCAATCACTTACATGTTTGGACTATTATTTATTTATTTATTGTTTGATCAAAGGGACATTTTTGTATTGATTTATTTCATTTAACCTTTTTTGGGGACTATTATGAGATTCACATTTTTTTCAAAAGGTGGCATTATTTTGTTTGTTTAGTTTGTTTTGGTTTTTTGGATATATATTTTATAGTATTACCATATGATACATTTTTTATTTTTGTTGTATATTGGGAGCGCGACATATAGGTGTTATTAATATTTTTTATACACACAGTATGAGAATGTGATTTATGTCAGCGATCCAGATAGAACCCTAATAGTGGCTCGCAAGTTACATACAAATCTAATTGCGATAAACCACTGTCACTAATCCTTGTTCCTAAAGGACTGAATAATCTACCAAATCTGACCCTACTACAATCATAAGCACTCACACATACAATAGCGTAATTCTGGGTGGAAGCCAATCAAGCAATCATTAGTGGGTGGAAACTGTAACACCAAAAGTAAATCAATCTAAACAGATGGGAACATAGAAAGACCCAAAAATAAAGACCTGGGAAACCTAAGACCTCATTCTGTAACACAAGAGTGCAAAACACTTACAGTATTCTTATTGAAAGAACACATTCAGTTTAATCGAAAATAATGTCACTGAACCATCACTACACCATACCAGGGGCGGACTGACAACTCATGGGGCCCCTGGGCAATAGGGGATCATGGGGCCCCTGTGTCCTTGCCCACACTCAAAAAAGCCTATAAAAAAGGTACCAGGGGCATTTCATGGGGCCCCCTACTGATCCCGGGCCCTTGGGTAGTGCCCGAGTTTCCAAATGGTAAGTCCGCCCCTGCACCATACCGAATACTTTAACCACTTGCCCTCTGAGGATTTACCCCCCTTCCTGACCAGGCCATTTTTTGCAATAAGGCGCTGTGTTACTTTAACTGACAATTGAGCAGTCATGCAATGCTGCACCCAAATGAAATTTATGTCCTTTTTTCCCCACAAATAGAGGTTTCTTTTGGTGGTATTCTATTGCCTGTGTTTTTTTTTTTTTTTTTGCGCTATATAAAAAAAAAAGACCAACAATTTTGAGAAAAAAACAATATTTTTGACTTTTTGCTATTAAATATGTCCAGTAAAAAAATGTAAAAAAAATCAAATTTCGTCATAAATTTAGGCCAAAATGTATTCTGCTACATTTCTTTGCTATAAAAAAATCCCAATACATGTAAATTAATTGGTTTACGTGAAAGTTAAAGCGGTGTATATATTCTGGGATTTTTTTTTTTTGTTTTAAATTTTTACTAGTAGTGGCAGCAATCAGCGACTTATAGTGGGACTGTGGTGGGCATTCTGACACTGGGGGGAACTGACGGTGTCACTGACATCCCCCGTTACACCAATACAGTGATCAGTGCTAATAAAAAGCACTGACACTGTACTAATGGCACTGGGCAGGAAGGGGTTAACATTTGGGGCGCTCAAAGGGTAAACTGTGTAATGGGTGTGTTTTACTATCGGGCTGTGTCTGTGTGCATCACTGTAAGCCCACTGCTTTGCATGGCTGTGCCATGCACAGCCATTCAAAGCAGTGTGCACGAGCTGACAGGAAGGAGAACTGTATTGTTTACATACAGTTCTCCCCCCCCCCCATCGGAGATCCTCGGCAATCACCGGGCGCTGGCGAGTAATCACTGACTGGGACCTGGTGATTCACAGCTGCAGCTGCGAATGGCAGCACGGGTAGTGGTGCTTGCACGCCCCCTACCTGGAAATGCAAAATCACGTATATATACGTGCCGCCCTGCTACAAAGTGATTTAAACACTTACAGAGATCTGATGTCACAAACTACCAAACTCAGAAAGAACATCTGAATGTAATCTGAAACCTGAATGGAGGGAATGGACATAGGGAAACATGCCCAGCTGAGGCTGTCAATCACAGGCTGTGTACAGGATTTGTCTTCTCTTGCAGATAGCACAGGTACAATACACTAGACAAATCATA